ATAAAGAGTAAAGCAATATTTTAAATCTTTATTGGAAGTTGATTTCACCTTACTGTAAGAAGTTACAAAATTTGCTCCAAATTCTTTGTGTGCACAAGAACTGTTATGCACAGCTTCTTCAACCCCCAAAACAGAGCTAGTTGGAAATCAGGTGGAGCAGAAAGTCCACTGTGTACACAGCACTTAGTACAGAAACCTCTGAATTATAGTCTTTAGAAACAACATGCATAGCAAACTGCTTATAAAGAGAAGATAAATACTGACTTTCTAAATCATGTAAGATTTTGATGTTGAAGCACTGATGCATGGTTTTGGAAGAGTCTTCCTCATGCAAAAGCTGAATATGAGTAGGAATGGGGTGTAGTCCAGGAATAGCATTGTGACTGGCAGGGATGTCAGATTACTTGTCCTCTGGTCCAGGGAAAACAGAAGGGACAGTTATAAATGAACTGAGTTTGTTCAGCTAATATATATTAATTCAGCCCTGCTGTGTACTCTGAATAAGCAGGTCTCCTAACTCTGGCCAACTATGTCTTAGCCAGGTTGCTCCTGCTACAACCATAACTTTTCTTCTGTTGTTAGTCGTGAAGTCATGTCTGACCCATCGCAACCCCATGCAAAACATTCCTCCAGGCCTTCCTGTCCTCCACCATCCCCAGGAGACCACTTAAGCTCATGCCGACTGTTTCAGTGACTCCATCCAGCTACCTCATTCTCTGCCATCCCCTTCTTCTTTTGCCGTCAGTTGTTCCCAGCATTAGGCTCTTCAGTGAGTCCTTCCTTCTCATTAGGTGGCCAGAGTATTTGAGTTTCATCTTCAGTATCTGGCCTTCTAAAGAGCAGTTAGGGTTGATCTCCTCTAGGACTGACCAGTTTGATAGCCTTGCAGTCCAAGGGACTCACAGGAGTCTTCTCCAGCACAACAATTCAAAGGCCTCAGTTCTTCAGCTCTCAGCCTTCCTTATGGTCCAGCTTTCACAGCCATACATTGCAACTGGGAAAACCATAGCCTCAACTACACGCACTTTTGTTGGCAGGATGATGTCTCTGCTTTTTAGTATGCTGTCTAGATTTGCCATAGCTTACCTCCCCAGGAGCAAGCGTCTTTTAATTTCTTGGCTGCAGTCCCCGTCTGTGGTGATCTTGGAGCCCAGGAAAATAAAATCTGTCACTACCTCCATTTCTTCCCCATCTATTTGCCAGGAAGTGATAGGACCGGATGCCATGATCTTAGTTTTCTTAATGTTGAGTTTCAAGCCAACTTTTGCACTCTCCTCCTTCACCCGCATCGAGAGGCTCTTTAGTTCCTCTTCACTTTCTGCCATGAGAGTGGTATCATCTGCATATCTGAGATTGTTGATATTTCTTAATCTTAATTCCAACTGGTGAGTCATCTAGCCCCACCTTTCTCATGATGTGCTCTGCATATTTATTTATTTATTTATTTGTTTTATTTAAAACATTTCTATGCCGCTCCCATTGCAACAAAGCCTCGGGGCGGCTCACAGCATCCATATAAGTTAAATAGGCAGGGCGACAGTATACAGCCTTGCCAAACTCCTTTCTCAATTTTGAACCAATCAGTGGTTCTATGTCCAGTTTTCACTGCTGCTTCTTGACTCGCATATAGGTTTCTCAAGAGACAAATGAGATGGTCTGGTACTCCCATCTCTTTAAGAACTTGCCACATTTTGTTGTGATCCACACAATCAAAGGCTTTAGCATAGTGAATGAAGCAGAAGTAGATGTTTTTCTGGAACTCCCTAGCTTTCTCCATGATCCAGCGTATGTTGGCAATTTGATCTCTAGTTTCTCTGCCTCTTCGAAATCCTGCCTGTACTTCTGGAAGTTCTCTGTCCACATACTGCTGGAACCTAGCTTGTAGGATTTTGAGCATAACTTTGCTAGCATGTGAAATGAGTGCAATGGTGTGGTAGTTTGAACATTCTTTGGCATTGCCTTTCTTTGGGATTGGTATGTAAACTGACCTTTTCCAATCCTGTGGCCACTCTTGAGTTTTCCAAATTTGCTGGCATATTGAGTGTAGCACTTTTACTGCATCATCTTTTAAGATTTTGAATAGCTCAGCTGGAATACTATCACCTCCACCATTATTTTTTATTATTATTATTAGAACATTTCTATGCCGCCCCTTGCCGAAGCCTCGGGGCAGCTTACAACACAATAAAATACAATACAATACAAAAATAACAATATAAAATTAAAATTAATAATATAAAATAAATATAAATGATATAAAAGAAGTTATAAAAGAAAAGTTAGAAAAGAAAAGAAAAGAAAAGAAAAGAAAAGAAAAGAAAAGAAAAGAAGTCACCCTGGCCAGATAAATAAGTAAATATTGTTAACAATTAAAATGATGTTTAAATAAAAAGGTCTTCACCTGGCGCCGAAAAACAAATAACGACGGCGCCAGGCGGACCTCTTTGGGGAGCGCATTCCATAGATTGGGCGCCACCGCAGAGAAAGCCCTCCTCCGAGTACATACCCTCCTAATTTCTTTCACGGAGGGTTCCCGGAGAAGGGCCTCTCCCGCAGATCTCAAGGGGCGGTCGGGCATATATGGATGTAAGCGCTCCTTCAGGTAACCAGGTCCCAAGCCGTTTAGGGCTTTATAGGTCATCACCAACACCTTGAATTGGGCCCGGACTTCAATGGGAAGCCAGTGAAGCTGTCGGAGGACTGGAGTCATGTGAACATAACGCCCTGTCCCTGTCAGCAACCTGGCAGCTCTATTTTGAACCAATTGAAGTATCTGGACCGTCTTCAAGGGAAGCCCCACATAAAGCGCGTTACAGAAGTCAAGGCGGGAAGTCACCAGCGCGTGTGTCACCGTCGCCAGGCAGTCATACTCCAGGTAGGGGTGCAGCTGATTAATCAGCCGAAGCTGAAGGAAAGCGCTCCTCGCCACCGCTGTCACCCTGAGCTTCCAATGAAAGCTCTGGCTCGAGGAGTACTCCTAAGCTGCGGACCTTGTCCCTAAGAGGGAGTGCAACCCCATTCAGGACCAGGTCAAATCCACCCTCTCCAAAGCCCGATCCGCCAACCAACGTTGTTGCTGAGACTTCCTAAGGTCCATTTGACTTCACATTCCAGGCTCGAGGTCAGTGACCACCCCATTGTGGTTATCAGGGACATTAAGCTCTTTCTTGTATAGTTCCTCTGTGTAATCTTGCCACCTCTTCTTAATCTCTTCTGCCTCTGTTAGGTCCCTGCCATTTTGGTCCTTTATCATGCCCATCTTTGCATGAAATGTTTCCTTCATATCTCCAATTTTCTTGAAGAGATCTCTGGTCCTCCCTATTCTCTTTACCTTTAGATTAATTGTATGCACTTTTCCTCTTTCAAAGGACTATACAAATAGGTTGTGCTTCATGAGAAATATACTGCATAATATGTATTACTTTCATTAGATTGCAGCTTTTATGAACTAGTTGACTTTATGGCATGCATTTCATAACTTTTAGTAAAACATTAGTATTTTTGATACACACTTCCATGGCATCATTGTTAATGTTGAGCTTCATGGAACAGGACTGCTTGACTTCACTAAGGGCGAGGCTGATTTTTCTGCATACATGAGAGTAAGGTTACAGTCTCATTCATTCATCTGCTGGTAGGTGTATTGAACTGAAGCTTAACATTATGCAAGGGTGGTTGTACTTGTATGCTAAAGAAAGAAACAATGCCCTGCCCGTGGGGGGGGGGGGGGGGGTGGCAGGGGACTGCCTTGTGGCCTGAGTTGTCACTGCCAGCAGTCTACAGACATAACAGTATGTCTGCAATTTATATTCCTCAGAACAACTGTTCCCTCTTGACAGAAATTTGGGCCACATCCCTTCAGTTTCCTGTGCAGTGCACTACAATGTATTGTATTAATGCGCAGGGCATTTGATCCTTTTCATTGAAGCTTATTTGTAAAATTACTGTTAAAGTATGAATGAACCCAGTGTATATATAGCTTAAGTCATTCTGTGGCCAACTTTTTGGCAAATATGTCAGAAGTCCAGTCCAAAGTGTGGGTCCCTGTGGCACTATAGCACATACACACCTTCCTATGTGTACTGGTATGGTTTATAGTGGAGTGGAGAGAAGGCAACGGAGTGGAAAACAATGGGACTTTAGTTTGCTCATTTTATATATGTTTTTTAAAAGTTGGGTTAAAGTAATCCTTCCCTGAGATGATCTCATAACACAGAAAGCATTTTTTTGCAAACTGCAGGTGGACAAAATCACAGTGGCTCCTGTATTAACAAGTTTCTGATTACTCATGTCTCTTAACTATAAATCCTTTTGGTGAGCCATCTGTGACAGCATGGCATCTTTTCCATTCAAACTTAGGTGCTGCGTGTTTGTAAACATCTTTCTCAAATTCTTGGAGACTTCTTGTAGATGAGATCTACAGTTTTCCATTAATTACCAGAGTCTTTATTTAAAGGTTTGGTATAATTCAAGCTGTTTTCCTTCTTAGTATGGAACATTAAATTAAAGTTGAACTATTAGATGCTTTGGAAACTGTTATAGTCTATTTTGAAATGCCTTTCCTAGTATGGCAGTGTGAACTATAAGCATGATAAGGACTAATCATTATAAGCATTAATTCAAAAGTGCTTGTACAGCCCTGATTAAACATGTTGATAATCAAAATGTCTATACAGATTGTGACTAAAGTAGAGCCTGGAGATTAATAGAATGGGGCAAATTCAAACCCAGAAGCATTTTCAGCTCCCTGTACAAAGCTGCTTTACAGATTCTGATATCAATTTATGAAGTGTTTTCACATGCAACATAGGCTGTCTAGATACTAATTATGTCTATGAAAAAGTGTGGTATGGAATGTCACAGGAATCAGTTTGCTTGGCTAGGATGTTTGAGGTAGGTGAGTGGTGCTTTGGCAAGACTTGAAGATTTTCTTCTGTATTTGTGCTTCCCAAAATAAGGTCAAACCTGAGTAAAACATAACTTTGCGTCCTTTCTTTCAGATTTAGCATTGGAATCAAATCCATCTGACCATCCTAGAGCAAGCACAATTTTCTTGAGTAAATCCCAAACAGATGGTAAGCTAACTTTTGTTCTCTTAAAGCAGGGTGGGGGAGTGGGTATTTAGATCTTAACTGAGAGGTTTGTTCTTTCTCCTTCTGTAAAAATATTGCTTGCATCTACAGTTTTACTCACTCTTCAGAGCATTTTCCATTGTGGTTTTGACAAAGATACTAAAATATTCTTTTAATATATTCTTAACAATCCCCCTAGGAATTATTACATTCCTTACATGAGAATTTGGCAGGAGATGGTTGTCTTATGACCAAGCTTTGAAGAAAAATCTACTTAGAGGCTTTTCTTGAGAAACACTGTTTACCATGCAGCTTGAAGCTCAGTAACTACTCCTAACAACACTTGTTGTAGTCATACGCTCCTAATTGTATACAATTTTTAGTTTAGCTTGGATTATCTCAAACTAGCAGTATAATGTCTGATGATGGTGCTTCCTGCTGAAATTTTAACCCACCTCTTTCTTCCTTATGGTATGTAACATATTTACCTCCCTTTTCCTCAGGCCAACATTAATGATAACTCTTTCAAAAGTTTTTGCATAATAAGAGTATAGAATGAGTTAGTGATTTTTAGTTGGGGGATGCTTGTATCCATAGGATGAACTACTGCAGTTACACCCTCCCCTTGCCGCCTTAATACAACAACAACAACAACAACAACAACAACAACAACAACAACAACAACAACAAACTGGTTGTATTAAATTGAGGAGCACTTATTCTGTGGAATATCTTCTTGCATTCATGGTGCAGTTAGACTTCCAGAAAGACAACATGAAGTGAAGCTCACTCACAAAGGAACTGACAGACTGTGTCCAACTTAAAAAGGAGCTATTGTCCATTTTAACTGTTGCCAAGTAGCATTGTCAGGTTTCAGTGTCTGGATGAGAGGAGCAACTGCAAGCAACTAAGCAGATACTATATTTTAAAATACAGTCTATTTAGACATTAGAGCATTCATTGATAGAGATTTTCTCCCTTTTTAGTGAGAGAGAAGAGGAAAAGCAACCACATCAACCATGTAAGTACATATAATAGATACAAGAGCTGTGACAACTACTAGTCACCTAATATTTAAAAAAAAAGAAAGAAAGAAATGGCAGCAAAAATCTTAGGATTTCACTTTTTACTTTGCTGGATTAATTAAAATATCCTCCTTAAAAATTAATGGGCTAAATTCAAGGTTGCACCATTAGAAATTCTGTGGGACTTTGACCTTCTCTCCCTCCCTGCTACTTCCACCCCAGGCAGCCCTTTGTGCTATCTGAATAATTGTTCTGAAGAGTTCCCTCCTGCCCCAAGTAGATTTTGAGGGTGTGCAAAGGGCCATAGGGGAGGGCAAATCTCCCCATTCCACTGACAGAAGCAGTTCTGTTAGCAGAATTACAGTGTTGGCTTCAGCCCAATGAGATTTAAGTGTTTAATTCTGGCAGGTTCATGCCTTCTTTTGTTCATTAGGAAAATAATTTTTAACCTCACTGCTGAATGGAAGTGAAAGTGGCTTAAGGAGACACAGCTAGACTTTCACCCGGAGAGTTTTTTTCCCTTTTTTATTTGTATGGTTAGACAGGACTCCATATATGAAAGGTAAAAATGATCTGTGCTTGCTTATATGGATTTTAAAACTTTTAAGATTACATAGTGGGTAGAGTTCGTGGTTGGAATGATTAAACCATGTACTACATAGTAAAATAAGGTTACCATATCTTTTTAAAATCCTCTCCTTTCAGCACAGTCAAATGGTTGGCTGCTGCATAGTGTCTTGGAGAATTACATTATCTTCATTACTGAAATAGAAGATTAATGTTTCAACTGTAAATATATTTTTAATAAGTGAGTGGGAAATTATTCTACATGGCTGATGCTATGATAGGAAGGAGCACTACTCTCTGCTTTAATGGTAGCTAAAGGACAGTGTCACCTAGGATTAATGGGGTAAGTGATATCATATCACTTCAGCCTGCCACTTCCATGACTTCTGCCTGCCAGTCTTGTTAGAGTGATTCATGTGTACTTCCACTTCCAGTCTTTCAAGCATATTTTGCTGCCAAGGTAGAATAGGAGTGGATGATTGTTAACGCACAGCTAGGCAGAACATTCGATTTCCAGCAGACTGCCTAGTATCGGCTGGCTGCTGGATCCTTGCAAAGAATGCTAAGCTAGGTGGATCCTAGTCGGAATGTGTAAAACACAACTTAGCTGAATAAAACTCCCATGTTCTGGATCACTTCATGTGTTATTTATGCCTTACCTGCTGAAGGAGCCTGGGAATGTACTCTTGCTTTGTATAGTTAAAAAGTCCAGGGTGATTTGAGTAAAAAGCTAACAAAAATACCCAGCAAGGCTGTGTGAGCTGATCCCTGCCAGCAACTTCCACACTAGTTCTCAGAACTGCTTGTTTGAAGGATGACATTTAAGTGCCCATAGCTAAGAACTCCCTGTGCACAATAGGGTAGCAGGTGGCTATGTAGTATAGTTGTGCTCCTGCTGTGTTTCATCTCCTTTCTCAGTATTTGGCCTGGTTTCACATTGATTTAAAATGAGGAAAATACCTGTAGTCCTGAAACTCTGAAATGTCTTTCCAGAACTTGACCAAAGAGTGTAGCCTCTCTCTGCCTCAGTGATTATATTCTTCTCCTCTTGGCTTGAAGTGAGGGCCAAGCTAGGCTTGGTTTTGCTCCCTTCTAAAATGGCAGCTATAAGTGGGTGGTGAATTGGGATTGGGGTAAGGCTTCGGCGAATGGGGCGGCATAGAAATTTTCTAAATACATACATACATACATACATACATACATACTTTACTGATGTGCTTTTTTCCTTCTGACAATACTCCCAAATTTGCTGCAGTTGCGTGTTCAGAGGCAGATACCTGCTTTGGCGGATTTGGGATTAGAAAATGGCACTACAGGGAAAAGTTAAACTTCTTTTCCCCTGTGCTACAATTCTGCTTCTGATCAGCACTCTCTCCCCCACACCAGCTGCCTTAATGGAATGGAAACAACATCAAACTCACAATGTGTCTGTGAACAAGTATCTATATTTGGCCTTGCATTTCCTGGTACTGAGTTCAGTCTCCAGCATTTGATCATTGCCCCTTTTGGAAGTTGTGCCCATATCTTTGCATATGCCACTGTCACCAGTTAGTCAGTAGCTGTATACAGGAAATAGCTGCTTACAGAACCAGGACTGGAGAAATGCAAGGTGTGCACCTCTGTGCCTAAAATCTTGCAGGAATGTGTAGGTATCTGTAGTCATTGTCCCAGATGCTAACTTTTGAACTCTGCTGGTATTTGTATTGGTTGACAGGTTACCTGTTTAAACATTTATCCCTAGCATTCCTTTATTTTGTGGAATAACATTGTATTCATCATCTGAGAGAGAAGTCACATGCATTGCATGTATTTGTTGATGAAACCCAGAAAGAGCAGTTCAGAAACCTTGTTGTTAGCGGCCCAGAGAGCTTTAGCTTCAACTGTAGTATATAAAATGAAATACAAATAAAATCTTTTTTCTGCTTGCAGGTTTCCCCAGGGCAGCTTACAAAAAAATACAGTTCATGTTCAACAATATTTATAGATGACAGCACAGTCAGCCAGCCTAATCTTAGGAGCACAATAAAATGGTAAGTACCACAGGATCTGGGGGTGAATGCCAGTGGACCATGAGTGACTTGCAGTATGTGAGGTGATGGGACCTCCTCTTCCCCTGCAGCATCTCCTCTAGAGTATCCTTAGCCACTGCCCAGCCCATTTTGAGGCCTCATGGTGAGGCCGTAGAGGAGCTTCCATTCTGCTCATGAAATCTAGAAGTTATTCATCCATATGCCCTGGAATTTTTTCCATCCCCAAACCTGGCAGTACAAGAGGAGGACATCTAGCTAAATGCAACAGTTTTATGCTGACTTGGCTATAGTGTGAAATGTGCACTGCAGATTGAATTAGTAATCACTGCCTCTGATGTTGGCCTGCCATCTAGTGGCATCAGATTAGTGCTTACCTATTTGATTCCAGAATCCTCTAAAGTTAATTCATATGTACTTCGTTTCTGGTATCTTTGGTATCAGTTGCATCCAGTTTATCAACCTGTGCAGGCTTGCAATACCAAAGCACCCTGATTCCTGTTACTAGAAATATGTATCATAAAGTTGACTTATAAATTTAAATGCTTATCTTAAAGTAGTCCATTCTTGGCTAAAATTGTGAAACTAGTTTCAAGTTAAAAAGCAGAAAATTGGGGCAAAGTGCATTTTTATATACAAGGAATAAGCCCCATTATCCTTGCATTGAGCATTACTGTAACCATAGCTGATAAAATCCTGCAGCACTTGAGACAGTAAAACTTGTGTAATTAATTCTGAATACAAAGTAAAGCCCAGTATTTGGTAAATTGACTTATTTGTTGTGTAGAATTTGTATACATACAAGTGTTTTTAGGCTTTGGTATCAGTTAGTAGCATGTGGTTCCCCTCCCCCCACAAATGTAAAAGTCATTATATTATACCGCATGCCTATTTGCATGCCGTGAATCATAAAGAGCTTTGTTTAAGAGTGCCACCACCCTTACAGGGCAAGCTGCTTAACGGATAATTCCTTGGAAATAGATTTAACCCATTTATAGGTGTGGCATTTTATATTAATCCCTTTCCCCAAATTGTATTCTGGAAAGCACAGCTTTGGCAAACTGTGGATGAACTATGAGTGTTAATATTCTCAGATTGGAATGGGTATGGAACAGGCCCTGCCTAGCACTCTCCAGATGTTTTGGACTGCAGTTCCAAACTGTTCTGACCTGTGGCCATGCTGGTTGGGGCTGATGGAGGGTTGTCGTCCAAAACTTCTGGAAGGTACCAGGTTGGGAAGGGTGATCTAGATCATAACCCAGTTGTTTGTAATTGGAAGAGGTGGAGTGAATGCTATGCTTTCAGACATAGCAAGAAAGCATATGTTACTAGAGGATTGTACCCTAGCTTGTCAGTGGGGTTATATCAGCCTTTATTCACTCTCAACAAACAGTGCTATTCTGGTATGCCATTGATGGCCTCTGGCCCCATCTGCCTAGAGTAATTTCACTGGTCATTTTTTATGCAATAGTACAGTCGAAACTTGACTTTCGTGGATTTTACTTTCACAGATTTGATTATTCACAAGTTTACCATCTATAATTAAACAGGAGGGTTTTTTGGAGTTGTGTGACCTTCTGCAGGAAAATAGACCTCTTTCCATAGACAGAGAGGAAGCGAAAGGGAAGAGGGAAGGCCTGCAAAGCATGCCTTCTTGCCCCACCCATCCAGAGAGGGAAATCTGTCTGGCATTTCCTTGGTGCAAAGAGGAAGTGCTAGTGAGTGAAAGGGAAACAGGGAATAAGAACATAAGAATGTAGTAATTGAAGAAGAGGAGAAATCTAATCTGACCTGATCTGCTGAATCAGACCAAGGGAGAGAGAGGAAACAGTCCAGTGCACATATGGCCAACAGTATTAAGGTATGGGAAGCAGGCTAGCTATATTAATGGTTTCTCCACTTTCGTGGGGGTCTTTTGCCCCTAACCCTCTCAAATGTGGAGGGCCAACTGTGCATCTATATTAAGCCTTTAGACTGCTGTGATCTAGTTGCTTAGTGCTATAAATGTTTTGAATCTTACTTCAGTTAATCTTGTATTAATGTGGATGTTGCATAGAAGAAAGTTTTAAAATGTACTTTTAAAATTTACAAATGGAACGTTAGGTGAACGTTAAAAATTACAAATGGAACATTAGGTAAAAATGGGTCTTAGGAAAGAGAGAGAAAGAAATTATATGTTTCTAATATAGATTTGGTTATAAAAATCTGTTTTTATCCCTAACAGCAATCTTGTGTCAAGATGGATTTTGTACAACCACTTACAATGAAATGATTTTTTCCCCCCTCTCCCCACAGTGTTACATTAGCAATATACTATCACATAAAGAACAGGTGAGCACTTTTTAAACCTGTTGTTTATAAATCATCAGTTCCTGAAGAATCTAGAACAGTGGCTGGCATGTGAGCCTGATTAATTAGATTGTAATTCACACTGTTCTGAAATTGCAAGCTTGGTATTAACTCATGTCCAGACATAGGAAGAAGTTGGTACTGTGAAAATAATATGAAAAAATGGTTGGACTTACAAGTTCTGAAGGCTTTTGCATGGGCTGACTTTAACTGTATTTTAGGGTGGATAAAATGATTTTAGAAGCCCTAAGATTGTTTTTAAAATGATTTCTGGGTGTAGATTCTGTAAAATTAATGGGTTTTATCATTTCATTTAAATCAGTTGTTTTAGAGAAAATGTTTATGTCTCTCTTAAATAATTTGATATTAAACCTGGGTGTAAGCTTGTTAACCTGTAGTTTTGGGGCCAACAACTCAGTGTTCTTTAGATGTGTTAGTCTACAACTCCAACAGTCCCTTAACATTGGTCATACTGCTTGGGAATTATAGTAATTCTAGTCTAAAACTTCTTGAGGGCACCAGGCTCATACTTGCTTAGTTAATCTCTAAATTGAATCAGTGCCTTTGAATTAAATAAAGTATTTTATTTAAATAGAGAACCAATTTGATAATTTCTGTAACACAGATATTTATACTGCATCTACCAAACATAAGTAGTTCATTTTCACCTAATTAAAACCAATTGCTTTTTCTGCTCAGCAACAATCAGATCTCACTTCTTTCTACCTTTCAGTCATAGAAATTTCATTTTGGTTTGCTACTTTGTTTTTGTGAGAATGGGGTTGGACCATGACAAAACGAAGCTGAAAGGAGCAGTGACAGAAGGAAGATTGTCCTCTGTGTAAATGTTCTGCAGAGGTGCCCCACAGACTGTCATGGCTGCCCATTGTGATACATAGCTGGGGCAGGCAATGTGTTTTGCTTCTGGGCACATTTGCCTAGTTGAGCACTGTCCTGAGCACCACCATAGAATGGCTGCTGTGGGAGGCATGAAAAGGACAAGTGAACTGCCTGAAAGAACAAGTGCAGGTAGAGGTGAGATCTGAACTTCAGCCCCACTAATCATGAGCCACTGCTCCAGCACTTACAAGTCATACCTCTGCTGGCTTTTGTGAGTTTTTGAGTTAATTTGTGGAAGTGACTTTATGGTGACTATCACAGCCTGCATGGGGGTGGGGGGTGTCTGCTTGTGCAAAGTGCCCCTGCCCAGTTTCTCTTATTGCCTTCCTCCCCTGCAGCCCACCATACCACATCCTGCCCTATTCATAGGGGTACTCTGACTACCATGGAGCAAGTCAAGATGGACATTAACCCAGGTTAATGGCCATTTTCTTTCATTACTTGTAATCCAGCCCTGTTTTTTTTTTCTCCTTCTGACCACCTTTTACTTACTGTTCTGCCCTTGTCCATATCTTGCCCGCCATGGTAGTATGCATTAAAACTGCACATGTGACTCAAGGTAAACAGCCTTGCAGGCAGGTTTGTGAAAGCTACAAACAACCACACAAATATTTACTAGCCTGGCTGTTACTTGTGGCATATAGAAAGAGAGAGATCTAAAAGAATATGTGGGTGGGAGGAAAACTCAGTTTACAAAAGCTATTCTTGCTGGTTTGAGGGGTGGTAGTTGCAACAGGGTGAAGGGTTAGTAATAAGCCTGAAATGCAGGGATAAGGAACATTGATTATTAGATAATTGTTCACTGCATCCCTGGTCATTGCTCACTCTTGGGTATTCTGGCTGCATTCAACCATTACTGGATGGCCACATGTTCCCTGCCTCTGCTGAAATACCAGTGTGAAAATGAAAGCAATGCCCAATTTTGCCTTAGCAACAGAACAGTATATAAATTCATGTGATAAATGTTTGTGCATTCATTTGTTCCATATTTATTTTACAATTTCTTAAAATCAGCACAACCTTTTATCACATGACAACATGGTAGAATAGAGATTGACCAGTGCCCCTCCATCAACTTGGAAAGTCAGCAGGGGCCCCATCTAGACTTCATTTTTAGCCTTGACACCAAATGAGCTGTCACCTCTTGAAATGCAGCAAAGCTTAGTGACAAATTCTGAAAACAGCTGAAGTGTGCTGTAATGCTGCTTTATATGCTGCATTTGTTATTTTGTGCTAAACATTTAAAATGGCACAATGCAGAGTTTGGAGATATTTGAAAGAGGGGCGGCAGGGAACAGGGTTGAGCACATCACCAGTCAAAGGGCTAGTCTTCCTCAGCCTGTGATTAATCAAGCTGCTCTTAAAGGAATGGAATGTGCATCCCAAGGAAGGCTTCACTCATACCAATAGCATGCATTTTCATGTGTTGCAGGGATTCAGATAGATCACTGGATATTTTTGATGAGAAAACACATCCACTTACGGTAAATCTGATTGTTTTCTTCATTTGCCTTGATTTCTTGAATGCATTTAGCATGAGCAGTTAGGTTTTTACATCTGGGAACTAAATGCTTCTCCATTTTTAGTTTGTTTTTAAGGTAAGGTGGGGTGGCAGGAGGAATTAAGAGATGGTTCTGGACTCTTAGCTTTTGTTCTTATGTGCAAAGAAGCATTTCTGTCTGTATCCATCCAGATTGAACTTTGGCTTACCACGCTTTAAAAACTAATACTTGGGACATCGGGTTTGATGCTTAATTTGGACTATATTCTTATAGGAAGCAGCTGATACAGGTTTTGGTTGAGCTGTGTGCCAATAGCTTTTGCTTGGAATCCAGAGAAGATGCTTACTCAAAGATAGCAAGAGGGTTGCCAGTTCTTCCCCTCCTGGTGGCAGCTCCTTGAAATTTTTGCAGGATGCAGCTCTGTAGCGCCCCCACCACCATTATCAGAGCTGAGGGAAGGGACTGCAGTAGAAATTGGGGATTTTAAAGTCCTGTTTGCACACATGATGATTTCACTCTACTAATAATACTGTCCTGTGCTTTTTACTCAAAACTAAATTCCAATGTGTTCAATAGCTTCTTCTAAAATCGTCCCAAACTATGTCCTGTTTCAGCGAGAAGAGGTTCCGGATGATTACTATAAGCACGACCCTGATCACAAGCACATCTATCGCTTTGTACGTACCCTTTTTAGTGCAGCACAGCTGACGGCCGAATGTGCAATAGTGACACTGGTAAGGCCTGCTTAATTATACTGCTACCTGGTGTTTAATAAAAAAACAAAGCAACAACTTGTCCAATCTGCACTTCCTATCCTAGGATTAAGCAGATGTCTCCTAATGACTGCTTGGCCAGTAATATCTACAGTCTGGCTCTGCTCTAGAAAGTAAGAATACTTCTAATGCATGAAGTCATTTTTACCTTGCAGTACACAGAACATTATATAAAAAACACAGTGGCTTCATGAACTTTATATTGGAGCTACCTGTTCAATACATGTCACAGAAATCAGTTACAAGAACTAGGTAAATAAAAATAATATATACAGAAATATATTAGGCTGTATCTTGTGATGTTGGACTAGTTGTGCAAATATAGAGACCATGTAGTGAGTATCTTTGTCATCAGCAGGAATTAAGTCCCAATTTGAATGTAAAAAATGATTCCATTGCTGGTCTTTTGAGATGATTCTAGTAAAGGTGCGCAAGTGGAATGTTCCACATGACCCAGGAATAATTCATAAACTGGAGTTACTAAAAAATACATATCCTGCTCACAGTACTGTTATGTAATATCACCATGGATGATAAATTCTGATAATATCAAGTGATAGCAAATTATGCAGGAAAAGGCGAAGTCTGTGGCACTTTAAGTTTCACACTTGCTGTATGTACTTCCATTGAAATTCTTCTAAAAACATCATTTCAAAGGAAATTGAACTGTAAGAAAGGTATTCAGTGAAAGCGCTTCTTCCACTAGTTGGCAGTGTTTTGCCACAGAAAAGAGCTAACCTGAATTACAAGCAAAAGGTAATAGGCAAGTGGAGGCCTAATGGAGCCGGCACTTTGAAAACTGCTTTGTTATACATTGCAGTCTTGCCTTTGTTGTTGTTAGTCGCGAAGTCGTGTCCGACCCATCGCGACCCCATGGAAAACATTCCTCCAGGCCTTTCTGTCCTCCACCATCCCTTGGAGTCCACTTAAGCTCACACCAACTGCCTCAGTGACTCCATCTAGCCACCTCATTCTCTGCTGTCCTCTTCTTCTTTTGCCATCTATTGTTCCCAACATTAGGCTCTTCTCCAGGGAGTCCTTCCTTCTCATTAGGTGGCCAAAGTATTTGAGTTTCATCTTCACTATCTGGCCTTCCAAGGAGCAGTCAGGGTTGATCTCCTCTAGAATTGACCAGTTTGATCGCCTTGCGGTCCAAGGGAATCGCAGGAGTCTCCTCCAGCACCACAATTCAAAGGTCTCAATCCTTCTGTGCTCAGCCTTCCATATGGTCCAGCTTTCACAGGCATACATTGCAACTGGGAAAACCATAGCCTTGACTATACGCACTTTTGTTGGCAGGGTGATGTCTCTGCTTTTTAGTATGCTGTCTAGATTTGCCATAGCTTACCTCCCCAGGAGCAAGCGTCTTTTAATTTCTTGGCTGCAGTCCCCATCTGCGGTGATCTTGGAGCCCAGGAAAATAAAATCTGTCACTACCTCCATTTCTTCCCCATCTATTTGCCAGGAAGTGAGAGGACCGGATGCCATGATCTTAGTTTTCTTAATGTTGAGTTTCAAGCCAACTTTTGCACTCTCCTCCTTCACCCGCATCAAGAGGCTCTTTAGTTCCTCTTCACTTTTTTCCATGAGAGTGGTATCATCTGCATGTCTGAGGTTGTTGATATTTCTCCCAGCAATCTTAATTCCAACTGGTGATTCATCTAGCCCCGCCTTTCTCATGATGTGCTCTGCATACAAGTTAAATAGGCAGGGCAACAGTATACAGCTTTGCCGAACTCCTTTCTCAATTTTGAACCAATCAGTGGTTCCGTGTCCAGTTCTCACTGTTGCTTCTTGACCCGCATATAGGTTTCCCAAGAGACAAATAAGATGGTCTGGTACTCCCATCTTTTTAAGAACTTGCCACAATTGGTTGTGATCCACACAATCAAGGGCTTTAGCATAGTCAATGAAGCAGAAGTAGATGTTTTTCTGGAACTCCCTAGCTTTCCCCATGATCCAGCGTATGTTGGCAATTTGATCTCTAGTTCCTCTGCCTCTTTGAAATCCTGCCTGTACTTCTGGAAGTTCTCGGTCCACATACTGCTGGAGCCTAGCTTGTAGGATGTTGACCATAACTTTGCTAGCATGTAAGATGAGTGCAATGGTGCGGTAGTTTGAACATTCTTTGGCATTGCCCTTCTTTGGGATGGGAATGTAAACTGACCTTTTCCAGTCCTGTGGTCACTGTTGAGTTTTCCAATTTGCTGGCATATTGAGTGTAGCACTTTTACTGCATCGTCTTTTAGGATTTTGAATAGCTCAGCTGGAATACTGTCACCTCCACTAGCTTTGTTGCTGCTCAGACTTCCTAAGGTCCATTTGACTTCACATTCCAGGATGTCTGGTTCGAGGTCAGTGACCACCTCATCGTGGTTATCAGGAATGTTAAGCTCTTTCTTGTATAGTTCTGTGTAATCTTGCCAACCTCTTCTTAATCTCTTCTGCCTCTGTTAGGTCCCTGCCATTTTGGTCCTTTATCATGCCCATCTTTGCTTGAAATTTTCCCTTCATATCTGCAATTTTCTTGAAAAGATCTCTGGTCCTCCCTATTCTATTGTTTTCTTCTATTTCTTTGCACTGTTCATTTAAGAAGGTCTTCTTATCTCTTCCAGCTATTCTCTGGAATTCTGCATTTAATTGGGTGTATCATTTTCTTTCACCCTTGCCTTTTGGTTCCCTTCTTTCCTCAGCTATTTGTAAGGCTTCCTCAGACAGCCATTTTCCTTTCTTGCATTTGTTTTTCTTCGGGATGGTTTTAGTTGCTGCCTCTTGTACAATGTTGTGAACCTCCATCCATAGTTCTTCAGGCACTCTGTCTCTCAGATCTAATTCCTTAAATCTGTTTGTCACCTCTACTGTATATTCATCAGGGATATGATTTAGACCATACCTGAGTGGCCTAGTGCTTTTCCCTACTTTCTTCAATTTAAGCCTAAATTTTGCAACAAGAAGCTCTTGATCTGAGCCGCTGTCATCTCCTGGTCCTAGTTTTTGCTGAATGTATAGAGCTTCTCCATCTTTGGCTGTAGAGCCCATAATCAATCTGATTTCTGTGTTGACCGTCTGGTGATGTCCATGTGTAGAGTCGTCTTTTGGGATGTTGGGAAAGGGTGTTTGCTATGACCATCGTATTCTCTTAACAAAATTCTACCAACCTGTGTCCTGCTTCATTTTGTACTCCAAGGCCAAACTTGCCTGTTATTCCGGTTATCGTTTGGCTTCCTACTTTAGCATTCCAATCCCCCATAATGATAAGGACATCATTTTTTGGTGTTAATTCTAGAAGGTGTTGTAGGCCCTCATAGAACTGTTCAACTTCAGCCTCTTCAGCACCAGTCGTTGGGGCATAGACTTGGACTACAGTGATATTGAATGGCTTGCCTTGGATTCGAACTGAGATCATTCTGTCATTTTGGAGATTGTATCCCAGTACTGCTTTTCCTATTCTTTTGTTGACTATGAAGGCTACTCCATTTCTTCAGAGGGATTCTTGCCTGCAATATTATACCTGATGGTCATCTGAATTAAATTCACCCATTCCTGTCCATTTTAGTTCACTGATTCCTAAGATGTCGATGGTCAGTCTTGTCATCTCTTGTTTGACCACATCCAGCTTGCCTTGATTCATGAATCTTACATTCTAGGTTCCTATGGAATATAGATCTTTACAGCATTGTACTCTGCTTTCACCACCAGATACATCGGCAACTGAGTGTCCTTTCGGCTTTGACCCAGTTGCTTCATTCTTTCTGGCGCTACTAGTGCTAGCCCTCTGCTCTTCCCCAGTAGCATATTGGACACCTTCCAACCTGAGGGGCTCATCTTCTGGCATCATATCTGTTTGCCTTTTGATACTGTTCATGGGGTTTTCATGGCAAAGATACTGGAGTGGGTTGCCATTTCCTTCTCCAGTGGATCACGTTTTGTCAGAGCTCTCTGCTGTGACCTGTCCGTCTTGGGTGGCCCTGCACGGTGTAGCTCATAGCTTCATTGAGCTGCGCAAGCCCCTTTGCCACAACAAGGCAGTGATCCATGAAGGAGAGTCGTGCCTTACAACAATTAATTTTGCAATCGGGAGGTGATTTATATTTTCTCTGAATGGGAAGCTGGAAGCACAGCAGAACAGTGTTGCTGTTATTTGGGGTGCCACTTTAATACCTTAAAACTAGTGGACTTCTTTTTAAATTGATGAAGAAACTCTAGAGGTAAATCTATCTTGGTGGAAATAAGAGGGATTTTTTCCCTTTTTTATTTTTTTGACAAAAGAAATATATCACAACAATAATAACATAACAAAAACACAATAATAAAAGAGTAATTAATAATGTGCCCCCACCACCCTGGAGACTAATGCTACCACCATTCACATACTATAACAATTAATAATATATAACATACTTCAATTATTTCCATATCCCCTCTAGAAGTTCATATAAACTTGACTGGGTTTACAGCCTTTGCCTTCTATCAGTACTGCTTTTACAAAATCTCCCCAAATTTCATTATATTTTGCTTTCATTAACCCTCTTTTAATTGTTATTTCTGTCATCAGTTTATCATTAATTACCATGTTCCATATTTCATTATACCATTCATGCCTTTGCAAAACCCAATTCTGTTTCCAATATTTAACTATCACTCTCCTAACTGCCATTATCATACTTATAATCAATTCTTTCTTAGCTTCATTTATATCTTGTTTTTCTACCAACAGTAATAACACCATTCTTGGTGACATTTCTAAGTCTATATCTAAAATTTCTCTAGTTTCTTAAATATCTTAATCCAAATCTTTTTTATATTTTCACAATCCCACCACTTGTTTGTAAGTTCTGATCTCTTTACCACATCTGCAACATATATTAGAATATTTGTCATCAATTTGATTTAACTTAACTGATGTTAAATACCATCTCCATATCGGCTTGTATCCATGCTCTTTAATTCTAACTGACATATTCTTATATAGACTTCTAGTCCAAATATTCTTTCAGTCTTTGTCTTTTATTTCACCTACATCCATTTCTCAAATTGATTTTAAACTTTTTGTCTGATCCCCTAACTCCATTAATATCCTGTAAATTTTTGGCAATTCTTTATTTGTATATTCTTTCTCAGTCTCACATTATTTTATAATCATTTCAAATTTTGTTCATTGTCTTTCTTCTTCTTTAAATTTATCCTCCATCTTTATCCATTCTTCTAATTGAATTAGATTTAACCAATTTAATTTAACCTCTGGCAATATACTCCTTAATTGTATTATATTTTTTATCTTATTTTTCCAGTCTTCTCATCTATATTTGGTTATTTTTTAATTTAGTTTTCTAATCCTTTAATTCTGTTTTTGGGAATTTCTCCATTTTGACCCCTGGTGTTAACAGAGAAGTTCCCAAGATTATCTGTTGTCTCCATTTTTCCATACTTCCATCGTATTTTTTAAAAAGGGATTTTGAATTCTCTTAATAATATTTTTAATATCCTTTTTAAACCAATATGTCTCTAAATGATCACCTATTTCCCTTAATTCTTTTAATTTGATATCACTCCATATTATTTATTTTGGGCTATAATATCTGGAACTATCTTTAATTGGTTTGCAATCCAATACTTTTTAACAACTGGAATGCTCAACCCTCCTTTTTTTGCGATTCATACCATAGTACTTATTCTTGCTCTCTTCCCTCCATTTCAATAAACCTCCAATAATTTCTGCATTTCCTTTCATTCATGATCGTAAAACCTGATTGGGATCATCCAAAACAAAAAATTAATCTTTGGCAGAATTTTCATTTTTGTTACTGCTGTTCTTCCAAACCATGATAATTTTACCTTTTCATATTTTCCTCTTTTATCTTTTATATCCTTCTTTAATTTTTCTTCTTTAATTCTTGACTGTCTTTTGGAATATCGATTCCTAAGTATCTGATATTGTCTACTATTTTTAATTTATATTTTTCTTTTAATATATCCACCTCTTCAGTATTATGATTATATAACATCATTTTGGATTTTTCCGAATTAACTAGCAATCCACTATATTTCCCAAATGCCTTTAAATGTAAATATAGTCTCTCTGTAGTATTTATTGGGTCTTGAAGTGTTAGCAATGTGTCATCTGCGAATAAATTAATTTTAATTTTCTGATGTACTCCAATTCCTTCTATCTGTATATCATTCCTAATTGTATTTGCCAATATTTCCACCATTAAAGCAAATAATATTGGGGATAAAGGACAACCCTGTCTCATCCCTCGGCTTAGGATTATTGTTTCTGTAATACCTTCATTTACAATTATTTTTGCCATATTTTCTGAATATAATTGATGTATTACTTTCTTAAACTTTACTCCAAATCCCATCTTCTCTATTAAAATCTTCATTGTTGGCCATTCCACACAGTCAAAGGCTTTAAATGTATCTAATGCTAGTATACTTGCTTTTATATTTTGCTTCGGAATAACAGTTAATATTTAATACTCAACTTACCACATCTGACATTTGTCGACCTCTTATAAACCCACATTCCTTATATATTTATCTATAAATTTATTCAATCTATTTACCAATATCGCTGTAAAGATCTTAGCATCTTGATTAATGAGAGATATCGGTCTATAAGATTCAGGTTTTGTAAGGTCTTTATTAGGTTTTGCTATCAATACTATCATGGATTGTCTCCAAATGAATGGAATTGTTTCCTCTTCCATTATTTTATTAAACATCGTTTTCATTTTAGGGACTAATAATTTTTTTTAAAAAATTATAATATTCAGCACCCAATTCATCAGATCCTGGTGCTTTACCTATTTTTAATTTACTTATAACTTCCAATATCTCTTCTTCTATTTGAGTTTCCATAATTTCTTTACCCTCTTCTCGAATTTTACACATTAAATTCTTTTCCATATATTTTGGCTTTCTTTCAAATTTATTTCATTTCCCTTATATAATTTGTCAAAAACCCTTTGGAAAATTAAAAGTTTTTCTTTCACCTTATTACATCTTTCCCCTTTTTCGTTCTTTATTACTCCAGTCAATTTTTTTGCTTTTTTGACTTGTGTGGCTCTGGCCAGCATTTTAGAATTTTTATTACTATTTTCATAAAATTCCCTTTTCAAGTAAATTAGATTTCTTTGAACTTGTTCTAATTCAATATTTTGTATTTCTTTTCTGTTTGCTGTTAATTCTAGCATAATTTTGTTTTCCCTACCTTTAATATATTCTTTCTCTAATTCTTTAATTTCTTCTTCTAGTCTCATTATATGATCTTTTTGTTTTTTTAAAATATATGAATATTTTATTTATAGCCCTCTTACCCCTGCTTTCATTGTATCCCATATTACACTTCTATTACTACCTCCTTTTTCATTTATTTCCCATGTTTCTTTTAATTCTTTTTCCATTTTTTCTAAAATCTTCTCATTTTTAAAAATCCATAAATCTATTCTCCATCTATTTGCCTGTCTATAATCACATTTTATTTCCATTGTTATCAATGCATGGTCTGATATTTTAATTACTTTTATATCTACACTGACTATCTTGGACATTATTTCTGATGTTACTAATAATAGTCTATTCTTGTGAAATTTTTATGTCTATTTGAATAAAATGTATTACTTTTCTGGTCCCCATTTAATTCTCTCCAAACATTTTTAAATCTGTTTTCCTTAATAAATCTACTTAAATCTGTATTCTTATATTTTGTATCTGACTTTGATGGGTTAGATTTATCTTTTTCTTTATCCATAACCATATTATAATCACCCACCATTATCACATATCCTTTTTTTAATTCTTCTATTTCTTTATATACCTTGTTGTAGAACTCCCTTTGATTTATATTAGGTGAATATATATTAGCTAACGTCACCTCTTGTCCATATATTAGACCTTGTATTATAAGATATCTCCCCAAATGGTCCTTTTTTATAGCTTTTATTTTAAATTCACATCTTTTAGCAAGAATAATTGCATCACCTCTTGCTTTTGAACTACCATACGATTTCTCATATACGTCTGCCCAGTATAAATTTAGTTCATTTACCCCATCTTTCTTTTGATGCATTCCTTGTAAAAATATAATATTTGCTTTTTCTTTATAGAAAGGTTTTTCAATTCTGGCTCATATATATCTTTCTCCCAAACCATTTACATTCCAAGACACAATCTTCAGTGTTTTTCCCATTCTTTCAATACATTAAATGTTCTTTTTGGTCTCCAAATGTGATAAAATAAACACTCCAATAAGACAATAACACCCACCCAAATCAATTTAACCCTACCCCCACCATATTCCCTACCACAACTGTGGATGGAGGCCCCCTTGCTCTCCTTCCCGCCGCTTTGGGCTTCCAAGGGGGTAGAGGAGGAGCCTTCCCTTCGTAGACCCCAGACACCCATTCCACCCTTCCCAATCATCTCTACCCATTTATTCAAAATTCTCTTATATTTCAGTAATAATTTCAACACTAACAAATACAATATATTCTATATCTAGAGGGAATTTTTAAACATTGTAATCATAAGAAAGTTTGCACAGAACTATGTCCTCCAGAACTCAGTGTGTGGGCTTGGGATTACAGTCTTCATTTTGACCTCTTAGATTTCAGCTGAGGAAGCACTCAGTCTGTTGAGAAGCTGAGCAAAGCAGAGCTTGAAATCTTAGATGTTTGAAAATTAGTTCAGCCTACAGTGTCCAGTCTTCAGAGTCAGTTGATGATGTTTAATCTGCTTTAAAACAAATCGTATTTGGTGGATGTGGACAAATGACATTAAAAGAAATCTGACAAACTCTTTTTCTCTGTGTTGTACAAATAAATTGTGATATGTGCAAATTTAAGAATGTTCTTTCTCCTCAGGTTTATTTGGAAAGGCTCTTAACCTATGCAGAGATTGACATCTGCCCAAGTAACTGGAAAAGAATAGTTCTAGGTGCTATACTGCTGGCTTCTAAAGTGTGGGATGATCAGGCTGTGTGGAATGTGGATTACTGCCAAATACTGAAGGATATTACAATTGAAGACATGTAAGTTGCAAGGTTTAATTCAATCTGATCATCTTTGGCTTGCCCAGAGTGTGTTTGAAAATACATATTTACTTTCCATTTGTATATGCTGCACTGTGCATTCTGCATTTTTTGGAGTTTCCATTTAATGGGTTTTGTTCGCTTAAACACACTTTGGAATCTGCTTCTCTGCTCATCACTTAATTCTGTAATTCTTTAATAGTATGCATACTTTTTCACATTTCATCTGAGAACACAAGGGTTTGGTGGACCATAGCCAATGCACCCATTATTGAAAATGTATATTAAAATTGCCAGAATCTTTGTGATGACTTTAGCCATCTGTACTTATTAGGGTAAATGACAAGACAATCTAATTTGCTGCTTTCTGGTGATCTCTCATAAGTATCTCACAGTTTAATAGAATATTGTGTGTTTGACTTATGCAGACATCTCTACTCCCTTATACTAACAAACTAACATATCCTTAATGTCTTTAGAAAATATCAGGTATCCAAAACATTTCATAACCACCTCCCCCACAGCTTCCCCAACCAGGATTTCCTCTGCTGCCCAATCGTGGCATTCCTCACCCTTGTAACAATCAAGTGTCTTGATGTATGTGCATTTGTGAGCTAGCATTTGCTGTAATACAGTAAAACAGCCTTCTTCAACCTGGTGCCTTCCAGATGTTCTGGACTTCAACTCCCATCACCCTAGCCAGCATGAGAATGGTCAGGAATGCTGGAAGTTGTAATGCAAAATACTTGGAACGTCCAGTCACTTTGTACAGATGCGAAAGTAGGAACAAATAGTTATACTAAAAGCAGCAAGGACCTAACTGAAAGTTTTTCCACAATAAAATCTATTTTCTGAAAAAGCACAACAGTAGGATCCTTAGGTATCATTTGAGTACGTGGGGCTGCTGTGATGACTTGTCGTAAGTTGGCCTCTGGTACACCCATTACCATCTTTTCATGGCAGTAGAAGTTTACTGTCTTGTACATGCTCTCTGACAAAATCTTAAGTGGAATCAGAGCCTTCCAGAAGATACAGTTCTACTTTCTCACAAATACCCCACTTCTACCCTATGGTGAGTGTTACACTTTGAGCAAACCATGTATGAGTACTGTGTTGCATCATCATCATAGGAGCAAAGGCTTTTTTTGCCTACTTCCCACATGAATCTTTGCATATTTGGTGCCATGCATTTCAAATTGTGGATTCAAGGGATTGCAAATAGCTGTATGTGTGACCTCTGATGTATTTCTCTTAGTGACACACATGCAGCTCATTACTTGAATGCAATTTGTATCTAATGTTATAAACTTGCAGTTTGATCTGTATCTAATGTCCTAAGTAGTAGTATGGCTAGTAGTATGGCTGTTGTTAAGCGCCTTTTTTTGTGTGGAAAATGCATACCTAAATCTCTTTGGATTTCAGTCCTTTGGAGGTGAATAATTATGTTTGCTTTTTATTAACATAAGCATAACAGGTAGAATAGCCTTGTATGATGATATTGGTAAACCTTGTGACTGCATGGGAAGAACACAGCCTAGCACTTTCCTCCCCAGGTACAACCCTCCTCAAATGCCTCACCTGCAGCGAGGGTTAGAAAAAAGCTTCTTTGGCAAAAATGGAAGTTGTTTTCCTAAGCTTAGTTACTACATGATGGGAGAACTGCAAAAGATGACTCCATAGTGTAGGAAATTTGGATTTACTGTGTGTGTGTGTGTGTGTGTGTGTGTGTTTCTTTACAAACCTTCTCTTTAAAATTGACAGGTTTCAATTTCCTGTCTACTAATACCTGGTGTGGAGTAGGAGACAGTGGTTGCCTTGATGCTAAAGTGTTCTGAATTACATACACACACACAGGTAGTCGACAGTTTGAAATAAAGGAGAATACTTTTTGTTAGGAAAAGTAATATACACTTGCCTAATACAGAAAAAGAAAGAAAGGGCTTAGACTTAAAATAAATCTGCTGGTTAGAGGCTCTTTTACCCCCCCACCCCACACACACACAAGTGCGTGCACACACACTCCCCACCCCCTGATCTCCATAATGAAGCATTCTTTAAGTCTAGATAGAAGAGAGTATGCAATGATTAAACTTCCTGTGCCAGTCCAATCAATGTTCAACACCAAACTTGCTTTGTGCTTACAGAATGATTATTACAGGGTGATCTAGTTTCATTTAGTCCTATTACTCTAAATCTGAGTGCCTCCCTCTTACAAATATCATGACTAGGCGAGAGCCAAAGGCACTATTGGCTAGATCTGGCCTACCAGCTCCTCATTCCTGCTGCAGATGTGCTCTCCAGATGTTTTGGCCCCCAATTCCCAGTAGCCCCAAGCAATTGTGGGAGATCATGCAAGTTGTTGGCCAGAAATTGCATACCCTTGCTATAGAAGATGCATTCAGAAAGATGACTCTTAATTGTGGTAAGGTGGTTAAGGAGAAAGAAACACTATAGGCAAATTGGGTGGGAATTAGCTGGATTAAAAAAAAAGGATCTGATTTGTGACTTCAAGAGTTGGGAGAAATAATACTTAAGAATTCACTTTTCATTATACTTCTGTGACAAGAACTCTGAAACAAGAGGAAACTGAAACACTTAATTAGTTAAAGTCTTCGCCATATAAAAACCTGCTCAAAGAAAGTGACTTAATCAGAGTGGGAAAAAACCCTAGCCATGCAGCTGCTAATCCTGTAGATTACACTGCATAAAAGAGGGGACATGCTGTTCATTCTTTAGCTACATGTGATAGTAAATAAAACAGTACAAACACATTGGGCCTTTTTGCTTTTCCAGAGTCTAACCCATATTAATAGGCATTAATCTGGCAAAGTATTGTATTTTTATACAATTAAAATGTATTAGCAAGGCCTGTACAAAAGAGGTAAATGAAGCCCCGATCAGCTGATCATCAAAACTTTATCTGATTTGCATTTCTATGAGGTTTATGACCACATGAGCAGGAAATTAATTCTGGCAGTATATTTAATGGGACTCAGGTCTATCTTACTAGAAACAAATTGTACAACTCTCTTTTTCTCAATGAGACTAGCTATCTAAATGATTGATTCCTGTTTGCTTTCCATTTGTACAAGTAAAATGTCAATATTTTTCAAAGGAAATATCCCCACTGCCCAAATCCTCCTAAGGGTTAGCCAGAAATTAAAATTTTGATGTAGACCTACTGTACAGTTGTGAGTTAAACAGTTGCCTTGTCTAGGAATAAATCTCTGTTGTTTGTGGGCTCTGTAAACAAGTCCTTTTTTTTCCTCTGAATAGATTGGGCCACTTTTGCATATCTCCTTGAAACTGGTTGGGTGAACACCAGTTGTGGTAAATGTGGCAGAGTGGGATGCGCACAGGTTTCATGTTCAGCATCTTCTCTTACACTGGGCTCCCTACTCTGCTGCTGTCTGTTGATGAGTTTTGTGCTCCCCACATGTTTAGACTATCAGGGGGACTTCTCCCATATTACTCCTTTCTGTATTTGCAGTGTGGCTAGAAAATCCTGCACTCTGTTTTTGTTTTTATATGCAGGATATAACACTGGGCACATCATTTTTAAGATGTTTTGTCAGTGATGTGAAAAGTGTCTTAAAAGCCCCTTGAGATTTTTTGAGTGCTGGTATGTAGTATGTGAGAGGAAGGAAGGTAGTAGGGGCAAATTTGTTTTCATTTTGTTTGTTACTAGCTTGCTTGTGATTTTTAACATTTCAAGTACAAGTTCAAACATTTCTGCATCTTAGTGAATTGGCTTGAGACATGAGTTTATCCTAACAAGACATGAGTTAATGGGGTTAGTATGCTAATGGTTTCTTACCACTCCTGTTTGTAGTATAAAGTTAAGTGTAGTATAGTGGAGGACTTCATTTTCATTCTACCTTTTCAGCTTAATGGATGTTTGCATATCTTGAATTCAACTTCTTTTATGAACTTTTCAAATAATAAATATAACTAGAACAGTGCATTTTGGGATTTGAGGGCACACAGGCCAAGTCAGATGTTATTATACACTAGCACTGTTTGGAACATAGGTGGTATGTACCTCTTCAGAGCTCTTCCAGCTTCTGGGTTTTCCTTGATGCTCTTCCACCCAATCTGCAGAGGTGCTGACCTGCACCTGAATCCATAGGATGGATTTTGCTGAAGCAATGTCAGAGGCAGCCTTCAAAGAATTCCTCCTCCTCCTTTATGCTAACCAAATATCCTCTCAGTCGTTTCAGGGCAGAGGAGTCCTTTGCCTACCCCAGTACCGATGCGGCTGGCTGGCTGGCTTTTTTATTTATTGCTGGAGATGAATCCATGTTGCCTCAAGAGGCTTTTTACTCCGAGATAATAGCAGCAGCTATTCAGAGATCCATTTGTTGCCGTGGTGATACGCTTACTTCTTTTGTTGGTCCGCCTCTACTTCAACAAACCCCCTTCCTGTTATCAACCTGGTGAAAATGTCTGCAAGTTCTTCAAAACTAATCAACAGCGCACATCATTCTTTTCATCTGATAACTATAGCGCAGGGTCTTGTAAGAATGAAAATGGAGTATGAATTGTGTACAGCTGGGCTAATGGAACTCGAAAGAACAGCACTTCCAAGTCAGCAGAGTGAGTGCACGGCAGAACATTACCTTTCCCTGCAAGCTGGAGGTCTCAGAATTCAAACTACATCTTGCCTCTAAAATAAGCAGACTTGTTCTGCTTTTTAAAAAATGCTTTGGTTGCAGTCAGCATTAGTTTTCAAAAGTGTGAGTATTTTGTTTTTGACTGGATAATAGCCATTATTTTGTATTTCTGCTAACCAGACATACTTTCCTCCAGGAATGAGATGGAAAGACACTTCTTGGAGCTGCTGCAATTCAATATCAATGTTCCTGCCAGTGTTTACGCCAAATACTACTTTGACCTTCGCTCTTTAGCAGATGACAACAACCTGAGCTTTCTGCTGGAGCCCCTTAGTAAAGAACGAGCACAGAAGCTGGAGGTAACAGTCTGCAACTTGTTGTGCTTGCTCATTTGCTTGCATAACAGCAGCCTCTGTTGTTGTTCATCACATGAGTGTGGCTTACAGAATGTTTGGTTTGGTTTTATTGGAGCATCAACCTTGTAGTTACAGAAATCCTTGATATGAAGATGAACCTCTCTGAGGAAGCAGGCATGGGGAGGTATAGAAACAAGACAGTGTAGATTCAGATAGTTATAAGACTCCACACTTAGAAATACTGGCAAATGTCTTTTCTGTATATTTGTCCCATCATCTTTGAGGCTGTAATCCAGAGTCTCTAAAGAAGTGGGGTCATGTCTGCTCAATATATTATAGAGTACATTGGGAAGAAAAAGGTTGTGTAAATTACCCAACGCCGCCCCCCCCTGCCACCAAGATCCCATCACTCACAATCACACAACGGCCTTGTGCTTCTCTTTGCAGCATCTGATACTCCATAGAATTCAGTCCCTATTGATTATTATATAAAAAGCTGCCTTTTGAGCTCAATAACATGCCAAAAATTAAAGAAAACTTGGACAGTTCAGTCATATTACTCCCTGGTAATCAAGTGGAGGATTCTAGCCTTAGTAAACTGCATTTATCCACAAGATGCCTTGGCTTCTAATTCTCCAAGAAAGGTTTTAGACAGTTGTTGAGAATGATTCTGTATTCCCTTGATGTTGCCCTCTGTCTCAGCTGCTTCATGTATTTTTGGATTATTGCTGAATTCAACCTAAGAAGAAATGCATGAGCCGTGGTGGGCGAAGTGCCCCACAAGTGCTTTCCTCAGCTGCAGATGCACAAATTACAATGCAATTGAGAACTTTGGGGTTGCCTTTTCTTACATGGGGCATACAGGGATGGGGGCCATTCCTTCAGTTGTCTAGTGAAATACTCAAGTCACTGTGGAAGTAAACTGCATGTTTTGATGAGCAAATTGGGTTCTTCTATACATTATCTATTAGGATAATTTTGCATGTTATTGATCTGGCTTTATAAGTGCATTTATTCACTTGTTACACACCTTGTGTTTCAAAGTGAGTCTGTTCTCTTTAATTGATATGGATGTGTTCTTGAATACAAACATGAACCAAAAAAAAAAAAAAAAAAACCAGTTCAGAGGGATGCAAATAGGTCTGGTTTTGGTTTGGATGAGAAAAATTGATGTTGGTTTTAAAAATTTCCGGCTCCAATAATGCTAAAAATTTCCATCTGGCTTGAACATGTGTTATAGGCTATATCCAGGCTGTGTGAAGACAAATACAAAGACTTGTCAAAAGCTGCTATGAGGCGATCATTCAGTGCTGATAACTTAGTTGGCATTCGCCGTTCTAATGCCATCCTCTCTTGAACAAGACGGAAAGCTGCAATACTGTGGCACCAGCATTCCTGTGGACAGGAGCACCACCTCCATGTCAAGCTCACGGATCGGCAGTGATGGTGTCTTCCAGCCAGAAGACAGAGAGCAAATCCAGCCAAGGAAGCCCAGAGCCAGAGGAGCATAATTCCATGTGGGGAAGAAGACAGGACCTTGTTGAGGGGGCACACTCGCATAAAAATCCAGAGGTGCAAAAACTCTTCAAAGAGCCTTTCCCCATTCTCCTCATGCATCCCACTACAATCCACAGGTGTTTGCTTACTATGTAGGCCTATAGCTGTGAACTATGTGCGTTTTTAATAATGACTAGTTTTAAAATTTAGAATTTGAACATTAACACAACCATAGTCACCATGTCCTTTCCCACTCAGTCACCCAGGACCATGGCTACAGTTGCCTTTCAGAGTCAGGGCAGTGTTCACGTTAATAGAGGATAAGGCCACCCTGGGACTGATGCTGTAGCACTGACAAGCGAAAGGTAGTTCTTCCCTTCCCCCCAGCACCCACCCACCCACTCACACATTCATACACCAGACCACCCAGACTGTTAATTGGCACCTGGCATTCACCAGGGTGCTGCTGAGCTGAACATTACTCTCTCCTTCTGAGGTTGTCATGGGGTTCCAGTGGGTTGGGACAGGAGCAGGGAAACGGTACTCAGCATTGGTCTGGGCCCATGTTTTGTCAGCTATGGTGCTTCTCATGTTCTTGTTCTTCTGGCCAGTCCTGGAAGAGGGACAGTCCATAAATAGTTCTTTTGCCTGAAGCACTGAAAAGGGCTGCATTCATTAGCCTGAACAAATGTACTGACTTGGTGGTAAATGGGCAATAAGGCTGTTCTGCTAAACACTTCCACTACAACAGTAAATACGGAGCAAGTCCTGCTTTTGTCCTATGCTTTCAAAATGTTTAAGTTCACAATGGGAAACTATTTTGAATGACCTGGACTTGTTGATGAGGGAGGTATGATTATTTTCGATTCATAGAATTGCTTTAAAAAAGCCTTTTCTCCCTTTAAAAGCCTAGTACTTAATGCCCCTTGCTCTGGAATTGATCCTCGAAATCTTCACTTTTCCTGTAAATTAAGTTTGCTCTGCCAGCATTGGAATGTGGGATGACTTAAGTTTTCTGCTCCTAAAGATAGGAAATGTAAATTGACTTTCTGGGTTACAGACTTTCACAACTCCAGGTAAACATCACTGATGAGTCTGCATTTTACAACTTCCCACATTGGGTGTAACACATAGTCAAGTGCAGCCCTTTGTACTAATCTTCAGTTTGGTTTCCTGTTGAGCCCCACTTGCTTCGTGAGGGCTCAGTGGCACCCAGACTGTTAGCAGTATTTTAGTCCACCAGCCCCAGGCAGGAATTCTACCAAGCCTGTGGCTTCAGGTATTGATCACAGTTCAATTTTGAAACCAATGCTACATCTTCAGGTGGCTTTCCTTTCTCATGTTTGTATTAAAAGAGAAGCTAATAATAAACTCTATTTTAATTAAGGTGAGGTGTGATTTGTTTTGCTTTGCATTTCTCTGTCCCATACAATTTGTTCCAAAGTGTGGAATGGGCTCCATCATGGGCACAGCCCAGCAGGGCGAGTGGGAGAGCCTTCCACAAAGTGCCACTGGAATGGCGTGCTGCAGTGCCTGCTGGATTGCACCCAGGTCATTTCAGGTTGGCTTGCAAAAGCTTAATGCTCCAGTCTTCAGTCAAAAGACTTTCAGAGCGTCTGATGCTCATTGAAAATACAATAGAAATTGTACAAAGTTAATAACAATGCACAACAACCTCAGCCTGAAAACCCATCCAGTTGAAGCAGTCATAAGAACTAAGAAGCTCAGAAAAACATTCATCTTCACCTGGCACCAAAAACACTTCCAACTCCATACCAGATTAGCTCTTCTGCAGAGAGAATGGAATAAGTATGGTGCCCCCAGTAACAGGCTGGTCCCCTGCTAACCGCCTGCAGGAAGAGTTGGAGGTGCCCCCCTGAGAATTGCTGGAACATACTAAGGCCACTCACCTCACTCCTTGGGCATGAGGGGAATTGGGAAAAGAGGGACATCACCTTGAAAAGTCTTGCCGTTTTGTAACTGCGTACTCATGGTTATAGTGCATTTTATTAAAATATTTTCTGTTCATTAGAGCAAATGGAAGATTTCTCTGAGTGCTTCGTGCTAAGAGTGCAACTTCAGGTAATATAACTGCAAAGTTTTCTTATCATTAGGACTCGCCATGTATTCTGTTCATTGAATGTTCAGCAGGGCATCTATGGTGGGTTGGATCCAGGACTTGCTGTCCACAGGAGGGAAGGGCTCTGCTCACAGAAGGTCCCTCTGCTTGCTTTTGGGGAATCTCCCCACATAATGCAGCACAAATCATCCCATTCAGTAGGGTCTAATGACTTTTCAAGGGGAAGGAGTGGATAGGGAAGCGCACTTACATCAATGCAGATGATCTGAGTGTAACTTTGGATCGAACCCATTTTATGCAAGGCGAGACTTCAATGACTGAATGAGTAGGGCTGAAGTCAGATGAGGAATTGGCTTGAAAGAAAATACAATTTTATGGAAGCTGTTCAAATCCCTGTGCTGCTAACTTCGGTGCTAAGCGGCAGGATTCACTCGGGAACAGAAGGGCCTGTGCATTTTTACTAGGATGTGGAGAAGTTGCATAGTTGAAAACGAGAACACACTCAGAAAAAGTGAGAAACAGTGCTGTAGCTGAACGTACTGCACCCTGCCAAATTCAGCTATGTTCTCAAAGTGCCAAGTAGCATTCCAGTTCAGTAAATGTTTGTGACTGTGTGATAACAGTCTTCTGATGCTAAGAGAGCTCTTGAGCACGAGTGGTGAACCAGCCACATACGTGCTACTTTCAGTGCTAGCTGTTTCTAATATGCTCTTTTGGCCACATGGAGATAATTTTTAGAAGGCGCCCAACCTCACTCACTCACTCATTTGAGCTCAGTTGAAGGTTCAGCAACTGGCCAAGATTCGGCAGTGTGCCAGCTCACTTGAGTGCTGCCATATTGCTTCTGTATATGAAATGGTTTGTTTGGTCTCCAAGGCAATTATATACTGAAACTTCTTTAAGTGGATTGGGCAGGTAGAGGACATTTACTTGAGCAAGGAGTAAATGTTCAGAACCACCCAATGCTGCATAAGCAGGTAGGTATCAAGCAAGTAAGGAGGGAAACTGAATGTTCAAGGGAAGGTGAAACATGTTCTAAACTGCAACTTGTTGTTAGTTGTACTGATGTGGATGCTACCAGGTTGTCCAGAGCCCGTAAGTGAACATACTGCAGGAGCCTAGACAGGAGCCATTGTGGGTGATGCAGTTCTGACACATCAGGGCACCTGGGAAAAGTGCATAAAGCATGAAAAGGATGGCAAATAAAAATGCTCAATATTCCTAATTTGTGAGATTGAGTATCCATCAAACAACCAAGAAACACCAGGATTTTTTGCTATCTCGGTTTTTGTGGGTCATTCGATTTTCCTGTATTTATTATGACCTTGAGGTGCTTGTACATGTATGTGTCTTCTGCTTTGCTCCAGGAAGCTCAAAGCTTATATATAATGATTATATGAAGATTATATGATGATGATATGATTATCTGATCATATAATATATGATGATTATAATTATCATCAGTTATGTTGAATGCCTCCAAGTTATCCAGTAAGCTCTGTTGCTTAAGTGATAGGAATCTTCAGGCTGGGCTTCCCAGACCTCTCACTGTGCCTCCATGCTTGCCCTGCAGCCCTCTTCCCTTGGATTCACTACTCCCTGGAAATGGGATGGCAGAACAGAGTCCACCATCTGTCTTCAGCTTTTCATTCTAGAGTGGAGCTATCAAGTATGCCCAGTAGTATCACCTACAACAATCCTACTAACACAGCAGAAATTAGTGAACCATCTAAGAACTGTTTCCCTTAGTGTGTCAGCCTTGGAACATGCCTTAGGAATGCCATTGCTCACTATTGCTAGCTCAGTATTGTCTTTCTTAGCTGGAGGTAACCGAGGCGGAACTTCAGACCCCTCCATACAAAGCATGGGCTCTGCCACTGAGAAACAGCAATAATGGGCAGCTGCAATTGATTCTCAGCAGTCTCTCTGTTGTTGTTAGTCGCGAAGTCGTGTCCGACCCATCGTGACCCCATGGACAACATTCCTCCAGGCCTTCCTGTCCTCCACCATCCCCTGGAGTCCACTCAAGCTCACACCAACTGCTTCAGGGACTCCATCTAACCACCTCATTCTCTGCCATCCCCTTCTACTTTTGCCATCTATTGTTCCCAGCATTAGACTCTTCTCCAGGGAGTCCTTCCTTCTCATTAGGTGGTCAAAGTATTTGAGTTTCATCTTCAGGATCTGCCCTTCTAAAGAGCAGTCAGGATTCATCTCCTCTAGGACTGACCGATTTGATCGCCTTGCTGTCCAAGGGACTCGCAGGAGTCTCCGCCAGCACCACAATTCAAAGGCCTCAATTCTTTGGCGCTCAGCCTTTCTTATGGTCCAATTTTCACAGCCATACATTGCAACTGGGAAAACCATAACCTTGACTATACGCACTTTTGTCGGCAAGGTGATATCTCTGCTTTTTAGTATGCTGTCTAGATTTGCCATAGCTTTCCTCCCCAGGAGCAAGCATCTTTTAATTTCTTGGCTGCAGTCCCCATCTGCGGTGATCTTGGAGCCCAGGAAAATAAAATCTATCACTACCTCCATTTCTTCCCCATCTATTTGCCAGGAAGTGAGAGGACCGGATGCCATGATCCTAGTTTTCTGAATGCTGAGTTTCAAGCCAACTTTTGCGCTCTCCTCCTTCACCCGCATCAAGAGGCTCTTTAGTTCCTCTTCACTTTCTGCCATGAGAGTGGTATCATCTGCATATCTGAGGTTGTTGATATTTCTCCCAGCAACCTTAATTCCAACTGGTGATTCTTCTAGCCCCGCCTTTCTCATGATGTGCTCTGCATACAACTTAAATAGGCAGGGTGACAGTATACAGCCTTGCCAAACTCCTTTCTCAATTTTGAACCAATCAGTGGTTCCATGCCCAGTTCTCACTGTTGTTTCATGACCCACATACAGGTTTCTCAAGAGACAAATACAATGGTCTGGTACTCCCATCTCTTTAAGAACTTGCCACAATTTGTTGTGATCCACACAATCAAAGGCTTTAGCATAGTCAATGAAGCAGAAGTAGATGTTTTTCTGGAACTCCCTAGCTTTCTCCATGATCCAGCGTACGTTGGCAATTTGATCTCTCGTTCCTCTGCCTCTTTGAAATCCTGCCTGTACTTCTGGTAGCTCTCGATCCACATACTGCTGGTGCCTAGCTTGTAGGATTGTGAGCGTAACTTTGCTAGCATGTGAAATGAGTGCAATGGTGCGGTAGTTTGAACATTCTGTGGCATTGCCCTTCTTTGGGATCGGAATGTAAACTGACCTTTTTTCAATCCTGTGGCCACTGTTGAGTTTTCCTAATTTGCTGGAATATTGAGTGTAGCACTTTTACTGCATCGTCTTTTAAGATTTTGAATAGCTCAGCTGGAATACTATCACCTCCACTAGCTTTGTTGTTGCTCAGACTTCCTAAGGCCCATTTAACTTCACTTTCCAGGATGTCTGGCTCGAGGTCAGTGACCACTCCATCGTGGTTATCAGGGATGTTAAGCTCTTTCTTGTATAGTTCCTCTGTGTAACCTTGCCACGTCTTCTTAATCTCTTCTGCCTCTGTTAGGTCCCTGCCATTTTGGTCATTTATCATGCCCATCTTTGCATGAAACGTTCCCTTCATATCTCCAATTTTCTTGAAGAGATCTCTGGTCCTATTCTATTGTTTTCTTGTATTTCTTTGCACTGTTCATTTAAGAAGGCCTTCTTATCTCTTCTAGCTATTCTCTGGAATTCTGCATTCAATTGGGTGTACCTTTCTCTTTCTCCCTTGCCTTTTGGTTCCCTTCTTTCCTCAGCTATTTGTAAAGCTTCCTCAGACAGCCATTTTGCTTTCTTGCATTTCTTTTTCTTTGGGATGGTTTTAGTTGCTACCTCTTGTGCAATGTTGCAAACCTCCGTCCATAGTTCTTCAGGCACTCTGTCTATCAGATCTAATTCTTAAATCTATTTATCACCTCTACTGTATATTCATCAGGGATTTAGGTCATACCTGAGTGGCCTAGTGCTTTTCCCTACCTACTTCAATTTAAGCCTAAATTTTGCAACCAAAAGCTCATGATCTGAGCCACAGTCAGCTCCTGGTTGAGTTTTTACTGACTGCATAGAGCTTCTCCATCTTTGGCTGCAGAGCGCATAGTCAATCTGATTTCTGTGTTGACAGTCTGGTGATGTCCATGTGTAGAGTCGTCTCTTGGGTTGTTGGGAAAGAGTGTTTGCTATGACCATCGTATTCTTTTGACAAAATTCTACCAGCCAGTGCCCTGCTTCATTTTGTACTCCAAGGCCAAACTTGCCTGTTATTCCGGTTATC